TGTTACACCGCTAAAAGATTTTGTTTTGTACGCGGAAAAAAAAAAAAAAAAAAAAATCAATACATTGCAAGCGATGGGCAGGAGCGATAAAGGCAGAAACCTCCCCTTGGTTCCCGCCCCCCCAGGGCAGTGGGGTGCCCCCCCTGCACCCCAAAGCTGGGGGGGCAAAGCTGGCAGCAGCCGAGCTCTCCCGCAACCGTCCCTCCTCAGTCCACGGCAGCTCGACCAGAGCAACCCTAGGTTGAGCCCAAGCAGGCGCAGCCCAGCAAGGCTCGAATTTAAACCCTCCTCACTCCTTTGTCGTCCCCAAGGCTGCCCTGATTACTCGAGCACCCGGGACGGCAAAGCCGGGATAATCTCCTTAGCCCCTTTGGAGAGATTTCCCTTTGTGAGCGGAGGTGAAGAGTGGAGATGCTGCGTGTTCACAGCTTAAGACTCTTCCCAATCGCCTCCTTCCATCTTATCGGAGCGGTGCCATCACATCATTTCGCTAGTTGAGTTGTCAGGATTTATTCCTTCCGCCGTGCGCTCACCGCTTCTAAAAACAGCAGCTGGGGCGCGCAGCGGGGCTGGGCCGGGGCTGCCGGGGGAACCGGGGCTTCTCCCGCTCGGCTTTCCCCAGGTGGGAGCGGGAGAGCCACGGGAGCTTGGGTACCGATGGATGATGGATGGATGGATGGATCCATCCTCCCTCCCCCTTGGGGGGTTCCCATGCCGTGGCGACATCCCGCACATGCTGGGATGGGAGTAGGGACCACCAGTTCATCCCCATTCCCCCAGGCTCTGCATCACTGGACTCGTTCGGGGGCCATATGCGGTGTTGTGCCCCCCCAGGGCCGGTCACAAAGCGCTGTATTAATAGGAGCGGCACGGTGCAGCTGATGCTGGGACGCGGTCCCGTGACACCCCGATAGCAGTATTTATCCAGATAGTATCCAGGCAGCTGCAAACACTCCGGGGACCTCCAAGCCCGGATCCCCGCTGAGGGGCAGAGCCGGTTCATTTGGATTCGATTATAGTCGTGCGGATACGGTTGGGATTGAGGGATGCAGGAGCCGCTTGGAACGGGATGGGTGGGCTTGCCCGGGGCCAGCTGGGCACCCTCGGCCCTTTCCTCCTGCTCGCTCCCGCAGGGAAAGCAAATGTGGGTGCATGGATGTGGCTGCACCTCCGGAGCACCCAGGAGCAAACGCAGGCAGCCGCAGGAGCTGGCCCGGCTCGGTGCCACTCCCGGCGGTGCCTCCTCGCCCAGCGGTGCTGTTTATTTCCCCGGCCATAAGGATGCTGTGGGTCGCCTGGCAGATGGGCTCTTGCAGAAGTTCATCTTCATCACACCCTGCTCCTGCGTTCACCCCGTGCCGGAGGAAGATGCAGCTGTGTTGCACGGTGATGCCTCAGCAGCACCATGCAACCCCGCAGGCTTCATCCCTCCCTGCGTGCCCACCCAGGACCCCCAGGTCCCTGGGGACTCGGGTGCCAGCCGTGCCTTCTCAGCCATCGATCGCCCGATGCGTGGCCGTGGTGTGATGACAGGATTAATCTTTGCTCTCCGGCACAGCTCAGCCTATTTCTTTGAAATCTCTCGATGAGGAGATAAGCTGAGGTGCAGCTCAGGCAAGCAGGCGCTGTCGGCCCCGGGGGGCAGGGAGCAGCCCCAGCGCCCCGTGTTTTGGCAACGGGCAGAGCACCGGGGTCCATGCCACACCACGCAGGTGCACCCAGCTTGCCGGCAGCTTTTTCCCCCGCTTTCCTTCCTTTCTGCCGCTTTTCTTTGCGACCCAAAGCAAACAGCCGGGTCCCTCCCCAATTTGGTTAATGATCTGGGAGATAAACCCTCCTGCGATAACGGCCGGGGACCGATGGCCAGATGAGATACCCGGGGTGGTGTTCACCTGCCGGGGGGGTCCCGCGCCCACGGACTTTGCTCCTCACCGGGGAGGCTGCTGGGGGTCACCCGGGGCACCCCACGGGCTGGCACCAGCTCTTCCCAACCTCCCCAGGTTGCAGGCAGGGCGATGCGGCCGAATCCGGCACCGTCAAAGCACGGGGACAGGGCTCACGGCCCGCTGCATGGTTGTCCCCGCATGGGGACACGGCTTGCTCACTCACTTCAGGCTTTGTTCCCAAAGTGCGGACAATGTGAACACGCGGCGTCTCCCAGTTTGCCCCATCCCAGCTCGGCATCATTTCCCCCGTGCCAGGGAAGAAGTGCGGCAATGCCGCGTGTTTAATTTGGCAGTCACTTTTTTCCTCCTCTTGTTTCGGGCTGTGTCAATGTGAGTGCAGCCAGGCACCGCAGGGGCTCCGGCAGCATCCCCGGCCAGGCACAGGGACACCTGTCCAGACGGAGAACCACTCAGCGCCGCTGGCCAGGGTTCACCACCGCCCTGTTTTCAGGGTGACACTGGTGGGTCGGGCCACCGGCCGGTGCCGTGACCACTGGGCGCTGGCGGGGAGCGGGGCCGGCTCCAGCAACACTATTTTTGTCCCCCTGTCTGGAACGGTTTTCTCTTTATCAGCGCCTGCGTGTTTTCTCTGCTGGGGATTGATACACAGAAGATGAAGTGCTCTGACATGGGAAGTGTCAGGCAAACGCTCTTATCTCGGAGACATGGTCTCCTGACCCAAACGCCGCTGATTACCAGTGAGACGGGGGAAAGGGGGGGCAAAAAAGGGGGGGCACAGAGCGGGGGAGATGGCAGTTGGGCTCTGTTCCCCGAAAGCTGCCAGGGTATACAGGGTGGCAAAGCCAGAAGGGAGCCACCACCATTGGGGCTCTCCTGGCGATTTGGGGGTTTGCTGTCCCCTCCTTGGAGCCGGGGGTGAAGACCGGTGGCCTGGGGATGCTGGGACCACAATGGAGGGGCTGGAGGGAGCCCAGCACCCTGGCAGCACATCGGGAGTCAGACGGGAACCGGGTGTTGGAAACATGGAGCAATGTGCACCGTGCAAGGGTCTGACTGCCTCGCTCAGCCCTGAGGCCCTGGTGATGGCCACATCCTGCCTGGTGGATCTGCTCCCTGCCTTCACGGGAGGGACCAGCTGGGCAAGGGGCTGCTGCTGCCCCTCCTCAGGGTCAGTTCATGCCAGGGAATAAATCCCATGGGCTCCTCAAAGGAGCTCCCAAATCCCATGGGCTCCTAAATCCCTCTGCCCTCCTCCTCCTCCCTATCCCAAGATGGAGCTGGTGGGGGCACGGGCAGGGGGATGCTGGGGACGCAGGGCAGGCAGAGCCAGCGCCGTGCTCACTCCCAAAACCACTTCGCTGGGGATGAAATCCCAGCTAGAAACGGAGCCAGGATCCCCACGGCCGGGGCAGCTTTCTGAGCATGCCGGCTCCACGCCAGTGCCGAGAGCTCTCAGGTCAAAGGCAGCGAGGCGCTGTGGGCAGGAGGTGCCGCGGGAAGGGGAAGGCAGGCAGCCCTGCCTGCACCCTGGCAGGGCAGAGGAGCTGTGGGCAGAGCGCATCTCTCCGTTTGGGGAGATGCTGGCACGGGGATGGAGGGTGGCACGTGCCTAAGCACAGGGACCAGCCTGGTGACCCCGAAGACCTTGGGGACCTTCGACACCTTTTCTCCAGCCCATCTCCCGGTGGGCGGCGGGTTTTGCCGAGGGGCACTGGCTGCTCCCCTGGGACACGCTCAGAGTCACGTCCCCAGCGGCACAAGGCTTCCTCGGAGGACAGAGGGGACCCGTGGGTGATGGTGGGACCCGGGCGATCGCGAGTGCCGCCAACCCGCACTCACCACCCAGCGCTTCCAGTTGCTCACCTTAACTCACCCCAGCGCCGAGAGGATCCAGATGTCAGCCCGGCTAATAAACACATCAGATTTCAATCTCCGCAGCCATGGGATCGCTTTATCCTCCCCACGCTTCCAGCTCTGAAAGCAATTTTGCCTTCAAACGAGCGCAGCCTCCTCCCCACGCACGGGACCCAGACACCAGCTGCATCTGCCATGACGCCCTCGAAGGACGGGGCTCCGGGCACATGGCTTTAGGGAGGCTGTTTCCAATGGCAGGGTCCCACGGGGGAGACCCCACCACTGCCCTGGAGCATCCCAGGGTGCCCTCCCGGACACAACTGGGTGCCCTGGGCACCCTGCCCCACCGGTGGTCCAGTGGGTTGCTTGCCATCTTCGAGGAACATCTTGTTTTTTGGGGTGCACCGTCCGGCCCCTTCCCGCCACACGGCCGAGGGGCAGCCAGCGCACATCCATCTGCATATTGGTTACCTGCCATCTTATCTGCGCTCCGAAAGACAAAGGCACAGTTAAAACATTTTAGAGCAGCCTTCATAGCGTATTAACATGTTATCTAACCCATTAAACCAGAGGCTTATCAGATAATCAAAGCCATTAAGCCCTGAAGCTGCTGCGACTTTGGGTGCGGGGATGGGAAATGCTCCTTCCGCTCCACCGCCGTGCCGTGCCCGGACCCCCCATGCCGTGCCCGGACCCTGCGGCGAGTGGCTGGATCCCACCCACCCACCGCAGCCCTGGGGCACCCACCAGCAGCTCTCGGCTCCAACTGGGTGCCCACGTCCCTGGGGACCTGGGGCTGCCGCGGGCCAGGGGTCCGGCTGATGGCGCTGATGCTGTCCCTGTCTCCCCACAGATGAGCTGGATCTGGCCATGCAGGACGGGGAGAGGCAGGTGCGAACCCGCAGGAGCCTCCCCGAGGGCTTCTCCTGGGGACCCTTCCAGGGCAGCATCCACAGCGAGCCAGCATCACCGGGACACGGTGAGACGGTAAGGAGCAATGCTGCCGCGAGCTGCCGGGGACAGTGGCAGGGAAAGGCCCGAGGAAACGAGTTGTTTGGGGAGAGGAGTAGGTTTGGGAAGGATTTTCCCTGCCTGAGCTCCCGATGCCCTTGGAATCTCTCAGTTTGGGTGCCCAGGAGGTTTCCCACCGCCCCAATATCAGAGCATTGCAGGGGGACAGGAGGCTGGCTGTCCCCTCCTGTCCCCTGCTGCACATGGCTGCAGGCAAACAGGCTGCTCGCTGGCACGGGTGTCCTCACAGAGGAGATGGGATCTGGGTTTCCCACCCCAAATTTGCTCCCAGGGGACTCCGGTTGTGCCTGGAAAGCACCAGGGCTCTGCAGCCCATGGTGAAGGGGCAGGAGAAGACGCAGCACGGGGCACCGGGGCTGATGGCTCTCGGTGGCAGGAGGATGCCGTTGGCCACCGTCGGCCGCACGCTGCACCGGGGCAAGCACTGGGGGTTGTGCCTGGGGGTGCATATGGCGGGGGGTGCACATGGGGGTGTTGTAGGTGCTGGATCCTCGCATCCCAGCCGCATCCTTCCCCCTGCATCCCCCGGGAGCCGCACGCCGGCAGCTCCAGCCCAGGGTCTTCAAGGCCAGAGAATCTCACCCAGGCTCCATCCTCACCTCCTCCTCCTCCTCTCTCCCTCGCTCTTTTTTCTTTTTTTTTCTTTTTTTTTTTTTTTTTTAGCTCAGGCCCGTTTATCTTTGCCGAATTAAATCCTTGATTAACCCTTATCTGCCCAGTTTGGCTCCCTATCTCCCGGTTGGCGCCGTGTGTCCAGACACCCGGTACAGGATGATTGATTTCTTAAAGATATGCGCAGCTTTTTTCTGATACTTCATTTATTGTCTAAATATTTTTGCTCCCATTTCAGCAGCTCCCTTATCGAGCCCGGCTGATGATTCCCAGCCCTGCTCTCCTCCACTGCTCGCCTCCCTCCCTATCTCTGCTCGGGGAAGCGAGGAAGGAATCGCAGCCCCATCCCTGATACGGGCTGTCGCCCTCGGGTCCCTTCGTCTTTGTTGCTGGCGGCGGGGGGGTGGTGGCGTAGAGGGTCTCCCCCAAATCCTGCCCGGCTCTGCTCTTCCTCGCCATGTGGGAGATTATCCCATCCTGGGGTTTTAGTGGGAAATGGCAACACTGGGTGGCTTTAATGCCTCTGTGGCATGGAGCACCGTGCGTGCCCATTGCTGCACTGATGGAGGAGGAGGAGGAGGAGGAGAAGGAGGAGGAGGAGAAGGAGGAGGAGGAGAAGGAGGAGGAAGATGCCTGCCTGCCCCCCCAGCTGGTCCCACAGGGCTCCCCCAAAACAGCCTTGCTCCGGAGGGTGTGCAAACCTGCCGGCAGCACCAGCCCAGGGGTGCCAAGGGACCACGGAGCCCCGCGTGCTGGCTCGCCCTGTGGCTGTCCCCCCACTCCATCCCTGCCCCACATCCCCCAGAAGCCGCCCAGCCCCGGGGTGATGCCCACAGCAGAGGGGGGGACAGCAAGGGCGCAGGGCCGCCCCGATAACGCTGCCCCGATAACGCCATCCCGGCGGATGCGAGGCAGATAGGGTTTCCGATGGTTATCGGGCTGGTGCAGAGCAGAGACACTGACCTCTTTGTTCCAGGGAGAACAAGGAAGGGCTCGCCACGGCGGCTGGGGCCGCTGAGGGGAGCGGGGGCGGGCGCCCTGGGGTGCTGCAGGGCTTCTGGGCACCGCAGGGGCCTCCCTCTGTTGGGGGGCACCCACATGTCCCCCCATGCATGGAGCAAATCTGCAAAAGCTCTGCAGAGACCCTCCTCTCCCTCCCAGCCCCGCACAGGCCACGGAGGGGCCACCGCGGTCCCCAAGGGAGCTCAGCCTGTGGGCCACCAGCAGCACCCGTCCCCGTGTCCTGTGCAGGGGTGTCCCTAAGCCCCCAGCCCCATTTCCCACCCGCTCTCTGCAGGGGAAGGCAGGTTCCCGCAGCAGCAGCAGCGTGCGGGTGCTGTGTGTGCACCCGCGGGGCGTGCACGCGCGTGTGCAAGCGCGTGTGCAAGCGCGTGCGCAAGCGCGTGCGCGTGGGGTTTATCACGCTGCCGGCACTCAGCTCCTGGCGGTGATAAGGCCTCAACCGGCTGCGACTGTCAGGCTGAGTTGGAGGGTTTAGAAATATTGGGACGAATAATTAGATTTCATATCGTTACCGCGGCAGCCATCGGAGGATCAAGCAGATTAATTTCCCCCCCCTTTCTGCTCATTAATATTCATTAGAGATGCGGGAAGGCAGAGCTGGGCATGGGCTGAGGGGGGAGCGCCGCGGCCCCCCATGGCCAGCCCCCCACCCTGACCCCAGCCCGTTTTGGGGAGTGGTGCTCACCCGCCTCTCCCTGCCTTCAGCAGAGCCCACCCGTGACACTGGTGCTGGGGGACGAGAGCTGCTGGCTGTCCCGGCTGCCCCTCGTGCCCGGAGAGCCCGATGCCAACGCCGTGATCTACCGGAAAGGTTGGTACCGGTGCCGCGCGTCCCCGTGCCCAGGGCGGGGGGGTCTTGGGGTGCTGCCGTGGAGGGATGGGTCCCTGTCCCCCATCCATCCCAGCTGTCTGGCTGCCGGGGAATATGGGGAGGGTCCCAGCATGCAGTGGGTGGTGCAGATATTGCTGCAAGTGTTAGTGCAAGCGTTGCTGCATCCAGCTGGGGCAAGACTCAGTGTAAGCATTGGTGCAAGATTCAATGCAGCATTACTGCACGTATTGATATAAGACTCAGTGCGAGCGTCACTGCAAGCATTGGTGCAAGACTCGGTGCAAGACAGTGCAAGCATTACTGCGTGCATTGGTGCAAGTGTTGGTGCAAGATTTGGCACAAGCATTGGTGCATGACTGCAAGACAGTGCAAGCATTATTGCATGCATTGGTGCAAGTGGTGGTGCAAGCGTTGATGCACGACTCAGCACAAGCATTGGTGGAAGCATTACTGCATGCAGTGGTGTAAGACTCAGTGCAAGCATCGGTGCAAGAATCCATGCAAGCGTTAGTGCAAGCATGGGTGCAAGCATTGGTGCAAGACCAGTGAGCGGGAGCCTGCTGGCAGGCAGGGCCGTGGCAGGCAGGGCTCAGGCGCAGGCAGACACCGCCATCTCCAGGCAGGCCGGGGCTCAGCCATGGCCAGGAGGAAGCCCTGGGTGCTGCTGGGGCAGCGGGGACAGGGGCAGAGGGGACAGAGGCCCAGAGCCACAGCAGCAGGGTTGGGGCCTGGGGGGGCCCATGCTGACCGCTGCACCCCCTCTGCACCCCACCAGACGAAGCCCTGTGGTGCCGGACGACGCGCGCCCTGCGGGAGGACGAGGCCGTGTGTGCCTTCGTGGTGGCGGAGCCGCCGGCCATCCCCAACCACCACGCGGTGAAAGTGGAGCCCGGCGACTCACCATACCCGGCCGCGCTGCACTCCGACATCCAGCTGCTGCCGCAGCAAGCCGGCATGGCCGCCATCCTGGCCACCGCCGTGGTTAACAGTGAGTCCCCGGGGACGGAGAGCGTGGCGGGGTGGGGGGACACGGCACAGCCCGCGGGGCCGGGACCATGCCGGCGTTCCCCAGCCCATCACACGAGTGATGTACATCCCTTCCTTGTCCCTTCCCCTCCACAGAGGACGTCTTCCCATGCAAGGACTGCGGGATCTGGTACCGCAGCGAGCGCAACCTGCAAGCCCACCTGATGTACTACTGCGCCAGCCGGCAGAGCGCCGGCTCGCCCGCCCTGGAGGAGAAGCCCAAGGAGACCTACCCCAACGAGCGCGTCTGCCCCTTCCCCCAGTGCAAGAAGAGCTGCCCCAGCGCGAGCTCCCTGGAGATCCACATGCGGAGCCACAGCGGTACGGCACGGCACGGCACACTGCTGCAGCCTGGGGCCACCCAGCCACATGCAAGGACTCGGTGGGGTGGAGGGGCAGGGAGGCTGCGGGGCTGGAGCACGGGGACCAGTTAAATGAGGTTCTCCCCCAGCTGGGTTACTGGTTTGGGGCTGCTCGCTTGTAGGTCTTTCCCCATCTCAGCCCTGTAAAGTTGGAAGCATCCTGCTTCCCACAGCCGGCGCCCTCCTGGCTGGCACAGCTGGCCCCATGGGGTGTTCCCCCCGTCCCCATCCCCCTTCCCTCGGCGCTGAGGCATCCACCTGTCTGTCCTGCAGGAGAGCGGCCGTTCGTCTGCCTGATCTGCCTGTCCGCCTTCACCACGAAAGCCAACTGCGAGCGTCACCTGAAGGTGCACACGGACACCCTGAACGGTGAGCGAGCGCTGCCCCGTGTCCCCACGGGGACACCCCCGTCCCCTCCAGCACAGCCTGGGGACAGGGACCTGCTCCCCACGGGTCTCCCCCTGCCCTGCCGGGTGCCATCCTGCCCGCTCAGCCCCGCGCCGTGTTCCCCGCAGGCGTTTGCCACAGCTGCGGCTTCATCTCCACCACGAGGGACATCCTCTACAGCCACCTGGTCACCAACCACATGATCTGCCAGCCAGGCTCCAAGGGAGAGGTGTATTCACCGGGGCCAGCCCTGCCTGCTGCCAAACCCCTCGCCCCCGGTGGGTACCGCGGGCTGCGGCTTTGGGGGGACACGTGCCAGCGTCCTGCGCAGAGCCTGGCATTGCCACGGAGGGCTGTGGCCCCAAACGGCTCTGGCCGCGGGGAGGGAAGCAGGGAACAGGGCGAGCATCGCTGTGCCAGGGATGTCGGGTAACGCCGGTGCCTCTCTCCCCTCGGCAGGGCTGAGCCAGACGAACAACGCGTCCCTGCGGAAGTGCAGCCTGCCAGCGTTCCTGCCCGAGCCCCACCGCCCGGCCCCGACGCCGTGCCCCCGCCGGCACCACCCGCCTCACCCCCCGATGCCAGGGCCGGCAAGCTCTCGCCACCAGCCCAGCCGCAGAACGGGGAAGGTCCATCATCCTCCTCCTCCTCTTCTTCCTCCTCCTCCTCCGGTGAGGCCGTCCGCATCAAGGAGGAGCCCACAGGCAGCCCGGCAAGTGAGGCAGAGGCACCAAAAAGCAGCAGCCCTGGGGAGCGTGACGGCAGCCCTGATGCCTGCTCCCGGACCTCGTCGCCCCGCAGCCTCCCCTCGGCAAAGGTCAAGTCGGAGCTCGCCAGCCCCACGCCGGGCTCCAGCCCAGTGCCCAGCGAGCCAGGGACGGGCACGGCCGGTGGCACCGTCTTCCTACCCCAGTACGTGTTCGGCCATGAAGCCGCGGTGGTGCCACAGGCATCGGAAATCCTGGCGAAGATGTCGGAGCTGGTGCACAGCCGGCTGAAGCAGGGCCATGGCGGCACGGTGCCGCCCGCCATCTATGCCGGCACGCCGGTGCCCAAGGGTGCCACGTGCTTTGAGTGCGAGATCACCTTCAACAACATCAACAACTACTACGTGCACAAGCGCCTCTACTGCTCCAGCCGGCACCTCGCCGAGGACAGCCCCCCCGGGGCGCGCAAGCTCAAAGCCCCCCCTGGGGCACCCAAGGGTGCTCCTGCCCCAGGGACGCTGCTGTCCCCCCTGGTGGGTGACGGGCAAGGGACACCGGCGGGGGACGGGGACGCCGGCCGGGATGCCACACCACCAGCCGCCCCACCGGAGGTGAAGGCGGAGGAGGGGGGTGGCAAAGCGGGGTCCCCCGAGGCGGAGGGGGGGGCAGGGCGGGG